GTGTGTCTTTATACGAAAACATTCAATTATCTTAAAACTCCAGTCAAAAAAAAAAGTTTTCTAGTATGTGATTATGTATCTAAATAATATTATGTCCGCCGGAAAGTTCTATATGTTTGTAAAGTGAAAGAAAATAATACATTTTTCATGCATTCAATAATATTTATTGTAGAATATAAGCCATCGTTACTTATGACCACTTACCAGCGTGATGAAAATTTGTAAATACGGAGCCGAAGGTTTAACGACCGGAGAATCCGCAAGTGCGTTAGGATTTCGGAGCGACCTCCGGAATCATAACAGCTGATCGGTGCTCGCGGACTCCCGTGCGTTAACCCCATGCAGCGAACGTGCGCGCGCGCGTGTGTGCATCGCGATGTTTGAGTCGCGACAACGCACAGTGGACGAAACAGTTGATTTAGGTAAACAAAAAAATGTTACTATCCAAAAAGATCATAAAGTCGATAATTATACGCGAGAAAACCTTTTCACGTCGTAAACATTTTTATTTCGTTTTATTTTTATATTAATTAATTAATTAATTTTGTTGTATTCAGAGTAAATATATATATATATATAATATAGTCGGAACTTTGAGTACACTCAGATTTTGAGTCATATAATCAATTCAAGCAGACATCTTGTTTTGTTTATTCCTCTGTTGACGCCAAATGTTAAATAATATCTTCGGCTAGTGTTACAAGTGTTATATAATTCTCACTGAAAATTAAATTACAAAGTTTTATGGAAAAGTAAACAGAAGTTAGAGGATATCGAGTGAAAGAATTGACCGTTTATTTTAAAAATGGTGCGAGTCCATTTTCTGTTGTTTCAAGAAAATCAAAGGTTAGCATATTTGTCAATTAAAAAATATAGGTTAATTACGTCAAGTCTGGCAATGTTTCTACTAATTTATCAATATATAATTTGATTACATAAATTTCTTTTAAGCGAATTTAACTAAAATAATGTATATTTAAGGGCTGCAAATGGACTTACGCCACTTTCAAAATAAACGGTTCAAATATAAGTGAAAAATAGTAAATATACCTTGCGCATCATTGAGATAGAATTACCATAATAACCATTGAGATAGAAGAATGGTATCTTTCTGTAAATATTTACCAAAATGTGATCTAAAATATAGCATGCATATATAATATAAAAATTAAATTATGTATATACACTATAAATTTCATTAAATTAGTATGCTATATTTTCTTACTGCGCGTATCTATCGCATTGACGAACGCGAGCGAAAAGACCTTTTCGCGATAATCCAAAGATGATAGATGTCATCTATAAACGCGTTTCCTTCTCGGCCGGCTCTAAACACGATTTCAAGATTGCGTCGTAGATTTCCGGAGCCCGCGATGAAACACGGCAACTGCATTATTCCGATCCTAATAGCAAAGCATAGTACTCTATAATTGCCAGTGTTTGCTTCGGAGGTAAGCGGCGAGGGTTGGGCGGGGTTAGCTGGAAAGGGTGGAGAGGATCCCTGTAAACCTTCGCCGGTTTACACCGAACCGCTTCGTACTCACCGGTATCAACGCTCGACGGTATTATCGCGAACTTAATGAATAGACCACCGCCTCACGGACAGCCTGACGAAGATAACGAGCGCGATAGTGATAAACGATCGCAGTCGGTCTTGTGGGTAACACCGCCCGTTACCGTGACACGCCGATTTTGATGAAACCGCTCCGGCCCTACACTTTAGAAAATTGCTCAACCTACAGTGACTCTCGCTCATTTTCGGACACTTTTCAAAACGCGATAACTTTTTTAGAACTGGACTAAACGACTTGAATTTTTTTTAGATGATAGAGCGACCAGTCTACTGGACCATAACTGGAATGCTTTTTTTAAACTTCTCTGTTGCTTACAATGACAAAAGAAGAGGAACTCTTGTTTTTTAACTTTTTTGTCTGAGCCTATAACGAAAATTTAAAAAATGTGTCTTGTAGATCTCGATTAGATACATGCATGTTAAAAATTTCACCGAAATAGGGTGACCTTCGTATGAGCTGTGAACAATTAAAGATCGCAAAAATTGCAGTTTTGTTCCAATTTTTGACATTTTCGACGAATACGTGTGAGAAATTTGGAGTTTTTGCAATCTCTTAACGCTCGTAACTTGTCTTTGCGTTAACCGATTTCGATGAAATTTTCAGCATGTATATAACATACCGAGATCTACAAAATGTATTTTTTAAATTTTCGTTATAGGCTCAGATAAAATAGTTAAAAACGGGTATCTTTTATTTTATTTTGTCATTCTAAGTAATAGCACAATTGTAACAAAGTAGTTCAGTCATTGTCTAGTATACTAGTCCCTCTATCATTTAAAAACAATTGAAATCGTTTATTCTAGTTTTAAAAAAAAGTTATTGCGTTTTACAAAGTGTCTGGATATTAATATGAGTCACTTTATTTAAGGTGAAATTACCTATTATGAAATACCGCCCCACTTGAAACAGTAACACCAACAATGCACTAAGAAGCAGAGCATATGAAAGCGGATGTAAAAATTCTGCTGATATTTTTGAATATTATTCTTTACAAATTTGAAATCAGTCAAAGCTAGCTTAATACGTTCAGTGACGCGTGAGTCACGTATGGGTGACATTAAATTTTAACTAGGTTTTTGAAATTCATTTTTATTGTAATATATTGAACAAATTGGATGTTACTAGGATTTGTAGAATACAAAATAGCTGAACCAATATTTCCTATGGAAAATTTTCACTTTCTNATTATTCTTTACAAATTTGAAATCAGTCAAAGCTAGCTTAATACGTTCAGTGACGCGTGAGTCACGTATGGGTGACATTAAATTTTAACTAGGTTTTTGAAATTCATTTTTATTGTAATATATTGAACAAATTGGATGTTACTAGGATTTGTAGAATACAAAATAGCTGAACCAATATTTCCTATGGAAAATTTTCACTTTCTAGTTTCGGTGTCATTAATTAAATGACTTTGATATTGTGTGAATTTTTTGAATTAATATTCGGCACTTAATATGTTAAATTGCGCAGAGTGTTTTCGTTGTTAACATTTCTTCTTCATTAATATTTTTATTATCGCATAAATACAGAAAGAATACAGGAGTCCCCAAGAACTTGCATACAACATTTTCTTAATTCTATGGTCGTGGTTTTGGTGGTGGAGGTGGAAGAAGAAAGTGGGAAGAGTTTTCAAGAGAGAATTTGGATAGGTGGGATGGGTGGTGATGGGAAACGGTGAAAATGATGGAGACGCTGACTTACAAAGAACTATTTAGAAGCTATGGCGCTGGAAGATCCGTGGGAACAGATTTTGTGCTCGGGTTACGTCTCAATCCCAGAGCGTTCGAAACTCTGGATAATTTATGTGTTCTACTCTCAAACCATTTTATGAGCCCGGTTCTGGTGTAGAATCCTAAGTGACCTTAAATCTTAAGCTGGCGAAAAGTCTCTTTAATACGTTCGTCTAAACGATACAAGAAACGAACAATAAGTATAACTACTAAAACTTTATTTGTAAAATATATGTCAAAGAGGAATATTACTGTTGCATTTATAAATAATAAATTTATTTATAATAAAGTATAAATCAATTACCAGTGGTGGATTTTTTAAATGTTTTTCAAATGTTTTATATTCTAATTACTAGACTGCGAATTTTGGACTGGAAGCAAGAAACAGATTAACGGAATAATATTGATAATCGAATTTAACCACACAAATAATTAGAGAAAGATTTTATTTCTGAGTTACTCTTGTTTCATAAAATGTATGTATAAGGTTTCTATTTTGCATAATGTTCCGCAATCTATATTATTGTAGAAATTCCTCTTCGATTTAATCGCTTTATCGCTTTATACATATGCTTGCTATTATAACTACTAATTCATTTCGCACTTGTTATCGTTAAAAAAAAATCATGCTTATAATCGGACTGTGAATTTTATGTGTTTCTCGCAAAAGTTTTTAAAAATGAGTGTATCGTCTGAAGAATTCATAAATAATAATATATTAATATCCGCTTATTAAAATTAGTTAAAAACGAAATAACTATCTATTTATATATTCTACTTCTTCGAATGAACGCACAAGATTTTTATGCTGCATAAAGATTCGCAACCTTGTGCTTGCCAACCAATGTACTTTAAAGTATACCAGGATAAACGATGAATTATTCAGTCTTAAACAATAGATCGCAATGCCTTTCTTTTCTTCCTCAAAACTACTTTAATCAATCGAATGATTTCTAGTTGTATTGTAGATACTCGCGCCCCTCTGATCAATATATTATTTTGCACAGCCAAGGCAGAGATGGAAAGGCTTGCGTTCTCAGGACAATCTGCAGGATCGCTAGGTGGAATCGAACGAGAACGGACAAAGGGACCTTCTTGGAGGAGATTATGCGTGTCGTGTTCTCGTAAGTATCTTACGGCTGACTGATTACTTTTCCCAGTTTGAGAAGCGATCCGGACGTAAGAGGGTCTAACAATAAGTCTGACCCGGCAAAGAAATCGTCTTCTTAGTCAGGTTCATTCGATTATTATTTGAATCGGCCAGATCGTCTGGAAAATTCATGCTGTTTCTGTGCAGCACCTTTATTATCCTTTCTCTCGACAGAACGGTTCAGATGGTAGACGTCGGTACACATTTTTATATTGGCCATTTTTTGTTACTTTTCTCGTATATTTCAGTGTTAAAAATGCACACCCATCTGCGAGATATGGACAAAAATAGAACTTTGACTTTTACATTTTAAAGTGGAACAATCAAGTTGTACCATCGTACAATTGCTCAATAATTATTCAATTATTCAAGTATCAATTATTCGATTATTCAAGTATCAATTATTCGATTATTCGATTATTCAATTATTCGATTATTCGATTATTCGATTAGTCGATTAGTCGATTATTCGATTAGTCGATTATTCGATTATTCGTTTAGTCGATTATTCGATTATTCGATTACTCGATTATTCGATTATTTTATTATTCGATTATTCAATACAACAATTCAATTATTCAAATTTCCTACTTGTTTAATTATTCTCATCTAAACCCTTCATATTACATAAATGACAAAAAATGTAAACTATGATAATAGTGGAGATTTTTTTATTGTATAAAAGATATAAGTATGTACACGATATATAAATAATATATATGTTAAATAGATATGCTTACAATATTCTTCTAAGAACAACTATTTCCCAAAGTTTTATTAGAATTGGCGTGTATCGCTTGGATACGTTCTCTTGTAATCTCGCTTAAGGTTTTAATTCGCTTCTTTCGGAAAAGGAAGACAAATGAAAGAGCAAGAGAAGATATGAACCTCGATCGAAATCACGTAAGTTTCGCTATCAAAAATCGTTATCGAAGTTCGCGATAGTTATGGCTCGTATACACCGAAACGCCGTATGCTTTTCGAACTACTAAATACTTATCGGAGCTCTCGATCGCATGAACGATGACTGGCAGCATGATTTGTCGAAGGAAAATTGAAGAGAAAACGATGTCACGAACGGAAGGCGCTGATTAATCAAACGTCCCGCGTGCACGTGGAAACCCGATCGAACTGGAACAGTCGTTGAATGTCTAATCGATTATTAGCAAAGAGATTGATCAAGGCGAACGTCAAGCAGGCCGAAAATTGAATAGAGAAATGATGAATAAGGAATTCTATGCTCCGCACACGAAAATGCTTCCTGAACTTTGACAATCCTTTGTGGCAACATCATTTTTATTCGAAAACTGTGATATACTTGTGATGAACTGTGATATGCTACTCTTACAAGTTCAATCGAACAGAGGTAAAAGGTTCTTTCAATTATAACATTTCCGATAGTTTTTATACGAGATGAAGAATTAGATTCGATACTGGATCGTCTAAGTATCGAACACATAAAATTAACACGTAAATACTTGATGACATAGAAATTACTCAACAAATGCAATCACTGCAATATCGAATTCAAGTTGCACATACGGCGCAATTATAGTAATATACCTACCAAAAATACCTATTTTATAAAATGTTGATATATTATAGTAATATAATTATCAAAAATAACTATTTATCAATGATCTTAGACTAGCATTACTGAAAATACCTTAGAAAATATATTACCCGCAAAAGTAAATCTATATTTATATCCTGTCTCGAGTTCCTTAAATATAATGCCAAGTAAATTGAAAAATAGCATAAACTTTTACATTTTACTTTAAATTATTAATTAAGAAATA